ATTCTGTCGTTGTGGTTGATGCATGTAGATATGACATATGATAATATAAATGGTAGGTTATCCAGACACTTCATCTAGGCTCTTGCATCCGTGTCTAACACTTACTGTATCTGTATCCATGTCAAACACTCTTTGGACACTTGTTGAATATATGCATACATTTATTAGACGTGTATACAATTATATAACACATATTTTAGTTAAAAACGCGTGATACACTTCTTGAACATGTATTTTACACTTCACCTTAAAATTATGTAGCTCGCGAGACTCGGGACAGATTCGTTTAGCACATACGTAGTTCATAAGTATAATTTTAAAAGATTGTTTGGGCATCTAGTTAAAAAATGAGCAATTTTTTAATTTATAATCTATGCAATAAAAGAAACATAAAAACATCATAAGGATTTTAGTTTTCTTAACATTTGAATGAAAAACAATATCGATCTCTTAAAGATTTGTTTTGCAGTTTTATCATGTCCCATATATGCACCCGTGTTCGCGTCTGCACCTGTACCTGTACGTATATCCATGCAACAAAGATAAATGCTCTTTTCAAACTCTAAAAGACTCCTTATTGATTTTCAAGCCCTTGATTCTTGCATGACCTTTAAGCAAGGTTTTAAATATCGGTTATCGGGGATTTATCGGACGGCCAAAATCCTTATCGGATAGCGGAAATCGGGGATATATCGGGGATAAGTAGTATTTATCGGAGTGATATACGGAATGGTGTATATATATAATATAATAACTAAAAAATGTAATCTAACCATGCATAATGACATATAAACATACCAAAATGTAAATCATCATGTTTAAAATCACTAACCAATTGTAGAAAGCAAAACTTACATCTTGACCGCACGATGAAACCATTCGATTGCATAGTCTTACTTATCAGCCGATAATCCCGATAAAAAAACCTTACTTATCGGCCGATAAGTACGGATAACGCCGATAACTCCCCGATAACTTGCCAAAAACGATAACCGATTAAAAATCCAAGTTATCCTATCGGAGAGCTTCCAAATCCGATAACTCGGCCGATAATATCGGTTATCGGCCGATATTTAAAACAGTGCCTTTAAGTAGCTGACTCGTATTCCTAGTGCATGCATAAACAGTACATATTTGTGCAAAAAATCGTTAGCATTGTTTTGTAGAGTAGACAATAGCAAATTGCCAATAATATGGTTTGATCAACATTATCATGAAAAGAATTTAAAGTTAGGGTAAATTACACTAGACCCCCATGAACTTTCAGCATTTTGAAGCAAATGCCTATGAACGTTAACACTAAGTCCCTACTAGTTTTTGTAGAAAACTCTAATGTCTTTTGGTAAATTATACTAAACCCCCAATAACTTTCAAATTGCCTTTCTGTGTTTTCTGATTCTAATTTATGATGGTTATCCGCAAAATGCAAAAAGCTATTTGGTGTTAAAGCGTGATTTTTAAAGTTCATAGTGGTCTACTGTAAAACACTAAAAGGTCATGGGGGTTTAGTGTAATTTACCCTTATATATAGCATTCAGATTGAAAAGTACCAAAATAACTAATTTAATAAGAGATCCGAATCTCAAATTTTTATTTATCATGAGAGATTGAATCTTAGATAGGAAATACTTGAACACATTCCATTATATACAATTGAATGAGAAATTTTAAATATACATAGTTATCCACTAAAACAAACACTTTGAAAATGTGAAACTTGCCTATAAAAAAGTCTTATCATTGGAAGCAAAGGTTGTCGTGCTGAATCTTGCAGAAGGAAGATAGATGCAGAACGGAGAGCAAAGAGATTGGTTTTGATTTTTGCCCCTTGAAATTTAAAAGGTGGGTAAGTGGGGAATGTTGATGGAGGATTTATGACATTGGTAAGTGGGAAGGACGTGGGTCATGTAATTATTTTTTTTCCCAATTTTGCCCTTTTGTAAATGTTTTAAAAACCTATAACCTGGTCCTGCGGCTGCAAGGACATCATTGGGTTTATGGCAAATTTGACCAAATAAGGGTGTAACACCAGAAAAATGGTCCAAAAGGCTAGCTTCTCTCAAATAATTAAATAAGTAGTAATAGATGCACATCCCCGCAACTCCTCCACACCTGGGGGCCCCCTCACATGCGCTCACGCACAACAAAAAGAAAGCCGCTAAAAAAAAGGAAGGTATGTGGACACACATTTATAATCTACATGTTTTAACATTCTCAACCTGTCCTGATATTTGCTCGACTTCTATGATCTTAGATTTGTTAAATCAATAAACATCTTTTCACATTTTCCAAAGGAAATTTCATTAATAATGATTCAAATATCATGTTAATGGTTGACCTCTCAGACGAAGAATATGGAAACGTACAATTCATTGAGCCCATGCCTTCCTTCCATTGAGAATATCCCATATCAGGTGTTCTGTTGATGCACTTGTCAAGGAACAGCGATTTATTGTCCATTGACTAAAAATCAGTGTTTATTACTCATGTATCAATTGATTCTTAAATTGCGTTATTTGCAAATAAAAGAAAACCACCTGAAGTGGTTGATAGGTTGTGGATGCTTTGGTGTGGCGGCAATGGTTATGGATTTCCTTGATCTGGGATGTAGATTATGTGGGCTGACAACTTTTCCTTACCATTTTCCAGTAATAGAACAAACGCAGCCCCTAGTTCCATGCTTATACGAAGTTTAAGCCACTATTTTTGAGATGATGAAGATCATTAATAATGTGATCATGAATAATTTTAGGGGGACTGTAATTTTTGATGTCCCTTGGGACCAAATTTCCTTCTATTGTCAATCATCCACCGTTCTCTCATGTTTGAATGCAGACATGCGTATGTAGCTTAGTTTGTCTGCCCACTAGGAAGCTGATTGCTGCATCTTTTCTGGTTTCTAGTTAAGCTTGAGCCATGATGGATCACAAAACTTAATTCACTCAAATTCTGTTTTACTCTTTTTTTTTGCCGCATGCACTTGGTGCACATACTTTGTTTAGGATGTGTACATGAGGGAGGGAGGATGTGAGGAAGGAGAGGAATTGAGCATCCGAGATAGATTTTGCCTTGCATCATTTCACTTTTGGGACTCTCCGTGACTTCAAATTTGTTTCTCAGTATCATTTGGAGAGGAAGGAAGGAGGGAGCTATGAAGCACGGACACGCATAACATGAAGCCGTATCGTGTCGTGTCCGTGTCGGACACACGTGTCGAACACACGTATCCTATGTATTTTTTAGGATTTGCCTCGTGTCGGCGTGTCGGATGGCCGTGTCGGATCCGTGTCCGTGTTACATAGGGAGGGAGAGAGGTTTACGTTCATACGCTACTAACTTTTTGAACAGTCCTAAACATATTTTTGCAATGATAGGTACACTCTAAATTAGAATGTCTGCCATTTTGACTGCTGTCTCTGCTAAATAAAAATGTTTATTTACAAATGGCTATGTTTAAATAATATTTCTTCGCTCTTATATCTCAGGCTACATAAAGGCAGAACATTTTATATTTTTGGTGCAAGACCTCGAAATTATTAAATAGTACTAAATTCTTGCAACTATTTAAAACATGACAAATTTCAATAGTATTGAAAATCAAGGAAGATATGTTTTCCCTGTGGAAATAAAGAATATAATTTACATTATGTATCAGCTATGAGTTTTGATGAGCACGGCATGGGCTGAGGGTTTTGAAGAGATGATACTACTACAACATCATAGCCTATTAGATAAACATAGACATATTGTGGAAGGAAATACTCAGTAGCACGTAATTGTGCTTAGGAATGAAAGTTATTGCTTAGGAATGAAAGTTATCTAGAAGTTGGCAGCCTAATGCCGATTTCTCTAATTAAAAAATTGAAACATGTTTTTGAGACCTAACATAGACCACATATTTCTATCTGCTTGGATAATTATGTGAACTTGGTATGGAAGATTCATAATTGCTAAGCACTGGGAAGGGATGAAACCTATGTAGCATGAATACTTCTCTCATCAAGCCATACTTATACCAGACGCTGACTTTCTTGAACACTCCTTGGATATATGCTTAGGCTTGTTCAAACGTGTGATTAATTATGTGATACATCTTTTAGTTTAAAACACCCATCGTACTCTTCTTGAACATATTTCCTACATTTCATATTCTCTTCTTGAAACTGGTTGGACATATGTTGGGCTTGTTGAAGCCCATATCCAATTTAGGACTATGATTTTAAACCTTGGATATGGGGTTAAAACCGGTTTCTAAGTTGTAATCTACATACCAAAGATAAATTAAAACTTACAGGAATTTTACTTCTCATAACATATGAACGAAAAGTTATATTTGTCGCTGGAGAAATTTAGTTTCCATACACACATAGATTGTTGTGTACAGTACCCTGCCTTTTACAAATCGTTGTGTCTTGGACCTGTTTCCACACCTGTACCTGTGATCGTGTAGTGTAGGATAAAATGATTCCAAATATACTGAAAATGCCAACTAACAGGAAAGATCAACCTGAACAACTATAGAAACCGTCTTTTGGGAGGTTTTGGCTGCATACCGTATCAAATCTGAATAGGTTAAGAAATAGGACGTACAGTCGCTGCACTAAAGGATTTTATCCTTCTGGATCGATTCCTATTCTAGAATTGGATACCTCACCATTTTTGGCATACTCATCGAAAATATTAGACATTGCTAAAATCTCCAAGCAGTTCTGTTATTGGATTAGCCAAGAAAGTTAGCATTCATGTGCTCAAAATGAATATTTGTAGTTAAATCTCAATATTCAAACAGCTTTTTTTTGTTTAGTTGAAGTTCCATGAATTTATAGCAGGCATGTGAAGTCTTAACTGCAAATTTTCTTTATTAGTGCAAATGCTGAAGCTTGCCTTACTCCTACCTTTCATTTTTATATTCCTTTTTCTTTTAATTCATCTCCACGTACAGATTCTCAGAGGCATGTATCATCATATTAAGTTACCGAGCATCATGTTTTTCATTTCAGATTATTCCGCTCCCCACAACCACCAAGTTATCTTCAGAAAGTCTTTTGAATGACAAATGATACTATGTGTGACCTTATAGAAGGCCTTCCAGATGCAGTCGCTCTTCGCTGCCTCGCTCGTGTCCCCTTCTGCTACCACAACCAGCTCCAGCTTGTCTGCCGATCTTGGAAATTCGCCCTCCGCAGCCATGAGCTCTTCAAAGTCCGCTGTGAAGTCAATGTAACTGAAGAGCTCCTCTGTGTCCTAGCTTTTGACCCTGAAAACATTTGGCAACTCTACGACCCTCTCAGAGACCGCTGGCTGACTCTCCCAGTCATGCCATCAGAGATCCGACACCTAGCTCGATTTGGCGTGGCCTCTGTTGGAGGAAAGCTCTTCGTCCTTGGCGGAGGAAGCGATCGAGTCGACCCTCTCACTGGTGATCATGATAGGATATTTGCGACAAGTGAGGTTTGGTCGTATGATCCCATATCTCGCGAGTGGGCCCGTAGGGCCAACATGATCTTGCCCCGTGCTATGTTCGCATGTTGTGCTTTAGACGATAAAATCATAGTTGCTGGTGGATTTACCAGTTTTCGTAGATCGGTATCAAGAGCTGAGATCTACGATCCGGATACTGATACGTGGGCCCCTCTGCCAGATCTCTGTCAGACTCACACCTCAGCTTGCTCTGGTGTGGTGATTCGTGGAAAGATGCATGTTATTCACAAAGGGCTATCGACGGTCCAAATATTACAGGATGGGGCCCGTGGTTGGGTTGTAGAGGACTACGGATGGCTCCAGGGCCCGATGGCTGTAGTTGATGGAGATCCATACGTGTTGAATGGAGGGTTTATACTGAAGCAGCAGCAGGAGAATTTGATGATGGATAAGGTGTTGTTGCCTACGTCGGAGTTTAAAAGAAGAATTGCGTTTGGGATGATTGGTCTGAGGGATGAGATTTATGTTATCGGAGGCGTTCTCGGGCCTGGGCCCACAAACCAGTCGATCAAGCAGCTGTGTGATGTCGATGTGCTCAGGGTTGGGTCTAGGCCGGGGTGGAGACTGGCTGCGCCGATGACCAAGTGTCGGGGAAGTATTCTGGGGTGTGCATTGTTGAAGATTTAGGGAATGTGGGATGTTATATGTGGTGGAATTGTTTGTTGTTATTGTTAATGTATGGTTCTTAGGTTACTTCATTTGTTGAACCGTGTAAAGGAGTTAGATAAGAGCTTTTTTGGTCTCAAAGGGATTGAAAGTGTTGTTGGTGATTGAGAACCAGGACGACACTCATATGATAGCCTTAAAACTGAGAAACATATATGTGCAATGATTACTGCAGGATGTCTCTTAAGGTTACAGTTTTCCAAAAAAATGTTGCAAATAGTTTACCACTAACCTCATATTAGTTTAATACTGTAAGATATGGACATGCGGTATGCTTCCTTATAAATTAGTAAGTGTTCATTTATTCTTTTTCTTTGACAGATGCTCGGGCGCTAGACCTGTTTGGCAATTCTTCAAATGGGGCTAGGTTTAGTCCTAAGCCCATTTTGAGAAGAAACGAGTTTGGGTAAAACATGGCCACTATTGACCCTGTTCCTTTAAGCTCAAAATTGTTCCGCAGTTTTGTTTTGCTGCACTTCCGCCCAGGACTGGAAAAAAAAAATTCAGTTTAGTCAATAATTGGGTCAGGATCATTCCTGGACCAATTGTAGGGTGTTTGCCGAACATACTTAATTGTATCCAAATAGCATGAATCCCTTCTTTATATATAAGGGAAAATTACTTCTATGTCCCAAATTTGAACTTCCAATGTGCCTCAACACCTTCTTTTTTTTAATGTGCTTTAGCCCCTTTTTTTTTTGAAAAAAATGTGCCCAAGGCCCCTCCATCATGATTCCAGCTCATGCCAGCAGTTGATTAGACATGCCAACTCATGATTAGACATGTCAGCTAGCTTAAATCCCAAATTTACCCTCTTCTTTCTCATGCCAGCGGATGTTAACTCTTACAGCTAACATGTTAACTCTTGCAGCTAACATGTTAACTCTTACTAATGTGCCCACGCGAAGTTCCTCGTGACGATGCCGGCGGCGGAGCAGGGGAGGGGCAGAGGAGGAGAGGAGGAGGGGGAGGGAGGTGTAGGGGGAGGTGCAGCGGGGGAGGGAGGCGAGGGAGGGGAGGGAGGCGGCGACGCTTGGGAAGGCGCTGGCGGCGGAGGCGGAGGCGCTTGGGAAGGCTGATCGACTCCAATAGATGCTCATTATAAGCTTTGATTTTGACTCCTATTCCTATTCATCAAAAGCATCCAGCATAGGGGAGGGAGGTGGGGACGGGGGAGGGAGGCAGAGCGGGGGAGGGAGCAAAGGGGGACCGGCAAAGGAGGAGGAGGAGAGATGTGAAGGGAGGGAAAAATCGGGTTTTTGGACATGGAGGGGTCTGGACGTAATTTTTTTTAAAAGGAGGGGCTGTAGTACATTAGGGAAAGTAAGGGGGTCTGTGGCACAATAGAAGTTGGGTTTTGGGGCCTTGAAGCAATTTTCCCCTTTTTAGGGATTTTTATAATAAAAAAATTAAAATCGTAAGCTGCAATTTGGACAAAAGCTAAAAATAACTTTCATGAGAAAACACTATTTTTCCATTAGTATCTAATTTAGTGATAGGGCTGCAATCTACTTTAAAGTTTCCATACTAAGTTCAGAAGTTTAAAGTTCACCAAATACTGGGCTTAACTTTGAATAATTCAAACTTTACATGCAGTTATAGTACAAAAAAGTAATAAATTCACTAAGAGGTGTGGTAACAAAAAGAAAGCAAATACGTCCAATTCAAGTGCAAACCAAACAAACCAAATACAACAGAATAATCTACACAATTCATGAATAGAAAGACTATTTAATCTACAACAGAATAATCTACACAACAGAATAACCACGCCACTCCATCAGTACTCTAACACAAAGGATCGCTAGACAAAAAACTAAACATTACCATATCCTTAGCGACCCCCTTGAGCACCCCATACTTCCTTAAAACCCCCTCCTTCACAAACCCCGCCTCCTTATCCAAAACCCTCTGCGACGCCGCATTCTCGACGTCCACCAGTGCCTCCACCCTCTCCAACCCCTCCACCTCCTGAAGCACCGCCTTCAAAGCCATGTTCACCGCCTTTGTAACGATCCCTCTCCCCCAGTACTCCGACGCGAGCACGTACCCCATCTCGCCTGTGCGATGCCCGTTGACCGGCGATGGCGTAACGGATATCGCTCCGATGGGCTTCCCGTCGAGGCAGACCATGTAGTGGTCGATATCGGAGATCTCAAATCGCGGAGAGGTGAGACTGTTTCTTTGTGGGCTGTTGAGATCATGCTGTGTTGAGTCTCCATTCGTGTTGGCTGATGGCACCGAGGAGTAATTAGAGGGTGTGTTGTGTGTGGACTTATGCCTGGATTTTTTTTTTTTTTTTGATGGTTTGGGTGCACTGAATGTGATTGATTGGGTCTCAAGGAAGCTTCTGATCAAATTTTGACTGGTCGGAAGCCACCTAGATTGACTTTGACCGTTCGTAAGCTCTTATCTACAAGATTACCAGAAAGAAAACGACTACACTTCCTATGAGAACACCCCATTATAGAGGCCAATCTCAACCATCCATATAGGTCCTTAAAATTACTAAAATACCCTGCTACGCACCACATCGGTTGGTTCAGAACGCCCTAATAAGATTCGTACTCAGTTGATAATGCCTCCTCACTTCATAGAATGTTGTTAGGTGCTCTGCGTTCTGATTAAGAGACATAACATCAAAAGAAATCCAATAGATGATCATATGTACAAAATCATATAGAGAAATAACTAATAAATACGTGAAGTCAATTACAAATCTTGATGCACGGGTTGTTGCGCGCAGCGGAAATTTCGGCAGGATAACAAGAGAGTCAAATCGCAATAAGAATTCCCGTCTCACCAAGGAGACAAGAATCTGAAGCGGATATCTCAACCAAGTGAGATATCGGCTCTTCCTCTCATCAGTTCTAGGACTGACCTGTCGAGGGATCCTAAAAGCTATTACAAATCACACAAAAGCAGTACAACCAATTTTTACGTGGTTCGGCAAATTACCTACGTCCACGGGGCAAGGAGGGGGGAGATCTACTAATAGAGGGAGAGAATACAAGTAGGGTTTACAATCACTCACAATCTAAACCCTCAAACAAACTCTCTCAAATCCCTCACAAATATCTCTCTACAAAAGGCTTCACAAAACTCTGTGCTCTTGCTTCTGTTCCGCAGCCGCACAGGAAGAAACCAAGTAGCCGAAAACAATTCCCGCAGCCGCCAAGCTCACATGAAACAAATCCTTGCACGCACCTTTCCTGTAGCCGCACAAGTGCACAGCCGCAACCCTCCTTTGCATCAAAAAAACCCAAAGGGAAATCACTTCATATTTATACGAAGCTTCATGCGGGTTCGTGGGCTTCATGCGGGTTGATTGAAACCGCGTTCACGCGGCTTCGGCTCTGTTCACGCGGAAACAAACCAAATCATTCACGTGAAATCTCTTCACGTGGGAAAGTGGCCCCCACTCTCACAATTCTCCACCTCGGCGAAGTTTTCCTAAAACTGAGCTGACACCGAAGCAACCAAATATCTCACTTGTTGTGTCATGTACAAACACAATCCACAATAAGTCGAGAACCCGAACGAGAGTCCAAACAATCTCACCCCATCAACTAATCCAATCCGGCTGCATCAAACATGACTGCCTACGTATCCTCTTGCCCAAGGAATCAAGCCGAACGTAGTTCACCAAATGGCCGCCAACAGCCTCAACAATCACGAATATACAACAAGTTTCGACAATGATCAAACTTGTTGCTCGGAACCACCTTAGTGAGCATATCTGCCGGATTATCCTTCGTGTGGACTTTAACAATCTCCACATCGCCATCTTCAAGAACATCCCGAACGAAGTGATAACGAACGTCAATATGCTTCGTTCTCGCATGAAAAACCTGATTCTTCACCAAATAGATAGTACTCATGCTATCACAATGAATAGTGACGGACCTCTGCGATACACCAAGTTCCTCTAAAAGTCCTCGAAGCCAAATAGCCTCCTTTACAGCCTCCGTAACTGCCATATACTCTGCCTCCGTCGTAGACAAAGCCACCGTCGACTGTAAGGTGCATCTCCAACACACCGGCGCACGAGTCAAAGTAAACACATACCCTGTCGTAGACCGGCGCTTATCCAAATCCCCAGCATAATCCGAATCAACATAACTGATGTATAGCTGCCCACCTGTAGTGTCCCGCTCATAAACCAAACCAACATTGAGCGTACCTCGAATGTACCTCAAAATCTATCTCACGGCGTCCCAATGACCCACTCCTGGATCGTGCATGTATCTCGAAACCATGCTCACCGCCTGTGATAAATCCGGTCTCGTACATACCATTGCGTACATCAAGCTTCCAACCGCACTCGCATATGGAGTCTTCAACATTAACTCTCGATCCTCAACTGACTTCGGTGAAAGACCAGCTGAAAGCTTCAAATGGGCTCCCGATGGTACACTAACTGGCTTCGTATCCATGCTAATATGAAATCGATGTAGAACCTTCTTCAAATAAGCCATCTGTGTCAAACAAATTCTTCCCTTCTTCTTGTCTCTGCCGATCTCCATCCCTAAAATGCGCTTCGCATCGCCCAAGTCCTTCATCTCAAACTCATTCGAAAGCTGAACTTTCAACTCATCTATAGCTGACCTGGAACTAGAGGCAACCAACATGTCATCGACATAAAGCAATAAATAAATATACGCACCTCCTTTCAACTTGCGAAAATATACGCAAGGATCAAACTGGCTCCGAGTGTACGAATGACCAAGCATAAAACCATCAAATCGCCTATACCACTGTCGAGGAGACTGCTTCAAACCGTATAGCGATTTCTTCAACCTGCAAACCAATTTTTCCTTCCCTGCAGCTCGGAATCCCAATGGCTGAGTCATATATATTTCTTCATCAAGATCACCATGAAGAAATGCTGTCTTCACATCCAACTGATCTAACTCCAATCCATACTGTGCCACCAAAGCTAGCAAAATCCGAATCGACGAATGCTTCACCACCGGAGAGAAAACCTCATTGTAATCAATACCTTCCTCCTGTGCATAGCCCTTCGCAACCAACCTAGCCTTGAATCTCAACGGAGTGCCTTCAATGCCCTCCTTCTTCGTGTATACCCACTTGCAACCAATTGCCTTCCGCCCCTTTGGAAGCTCAACAAGCTCCCATGTATCATTCTTATGAAGAGATTCCATCTCCTCCTGCATAGCCACCTGCCACGAATCAGCCTCCGAACTCTGCTCGGCCTCTCTGAATGTAGTAGGCACTAATTCATCGATACTCTCCACCGGAAGTGCATACGTAACTATGTCGGCATACCGTGCTGGCATCTATATGTTTCTCCTCTGTCTCCGAGCCGTAATTGAATCCTGAACCTGAGCCGTCGGTTCCTGATTCTGCACATTTGTACTCGTATCCTCCGTGTCACCGTCGTGCTCACCTGGTGTCACCTCAGTCGGCACCTGCATGGATACTGTACCATCTGGACAATATGGAGCTGCATCGATCTCCACCACCTGCGATATCTCCTCCGTCGGGTCGCTCTCCACCTGATGAGAGCTGGGAAGCTTCAAGATAGAAGTCTTATCGAATGTGACGTCCCTACTCAGCACAATCTTCTTATCAACTGGATCCCAAAGCTTGTATCCCTTGACACCACGCTTGAATCCTACAAATATGGCCTTCCTAGCTCGAGGTTCCAATTTATCAGTTCTAACATGATAATATGCAGGGCACCCGAATACCTTGAGCTGGTCATAGTCATGTGCTGGCTTTCCCAACCACTTCTCCATAGGGGTCTTCCCCTCAATCACAGATGAAGGTAGCCTATTAATGAGGTGACTCGCATATGTAAGCGCCTCAGCCCAAAAGATCTTCTCCAAACCACTCTGCGACAATAAGCATCGGATCTTCTCCAGTAAAGACCGATTCAACCTCTCTGCCACCGCATTTTGCTGCGGTGTATGACTAACCGTGAAGTGTCTCTCTATGCCCTCGTCTCGACATAGCTGCTGAAAGGGGTCAGAAGTATACTCACCACCGTTGTCGGATCGCAACGTCTTGATCTTTCTCCCAGTCTGCAGTTCCAATCTCTTCTTCCACTCCACAAACAAATCTAGGACTTCACTCTTCTTCGTCATGGTGTACACCCAACAACGCCTAGAATAGTCATCTACAAAAGTGACGAACCAATGTCTACCACCAAGTGATGCAGTCTTGGTGGGACCCTAAATGTCTGTGTGCACGTAATCCAGGATGCCCCTCGTCTGATGAATGACAGTCCCGAACTTCACCTTCATCTTCTTGCCAAGAACACAGTGCTCACAGAACTCAATCTTCCCACTCTTGGCTCCCTTCAATAGCCCCTGCTTGCACAATGCCTGCAGTGACTTTTCACCTGTGTGCCCCAATCTATAGTGCCAAAGTCTGCTCATGTCCGCTTCTGAAATAGCCGAAGCAACCGCCCCTGCTTGCACAATGCCTGTAGTGACTTTTCACCTGTGTGCCCCAACCTATAGTGTCAAAGTCTGCTCATGTCCGCTTCTGAAATAGCCGAAGCAACCTGGCCAATCTCGGTGCTTCCCTTCAGATAATACAAATTCCGATTGCGGACTCCCTTCATCACCACCAATGATCCCTTAGTAACCTTCGCTACAGCGTCTTCGAAAGTCACCTTGAATCCCTTCGCCTCCAAAGCTCCAACTGAGATAAGATTTTTCTTCAGTTGAGGAACAAATCTCACCTCCTTCAACTCACGGACTACTCCATCGTGCATCCTAATCCGTACGGTACCTATCCCACAAACGCCACAGGATTGATCATTTCCCATGACAACAACGCCCCCGTCGACTTTCTCAAAAGATGCAAACCAGTCTCGCCTAGGGGTCACATGAAAGGTAGCGCCGGAATCAAGCATCCAATCTGATGCATCCACATGGTTCACCTCCGGAGTAATCAGTAGAGAAAAGCACGAATCATCGGAATCATCGCCTTTCGCAATGTTCACCTCATTGGCCTTCGGGCCCTTTTTCTTGCCATTCTCCTTCTCCTTGAGCTTCGGGCAGTCTCTCTTCCAATGTCCCTGCTCCTTGCAGAATGCACATTGGTTCTTTGCTAATTGGTGGCGGCCTCTAGACTTTGACCTCCCTCTGTTACCACCTTTCGGATATGGGCTTCTACCTCTCGTCGACAAGGCCTCGCCTGAAGTGCTAGCACGGGAAGTCTCCTTGTCCTTCCTCCTCAAATCGTAGTTTGTCAAAGCGTTAGTCACTTCACTATAGCTGATAGAAAATTTCCCGTTTAACAAAGTGAGCACGAAGGTATCATACTCCTCATCCGGTAAGGAGCCCAACAAAATAATCGCCTTGTACTCATCCGATATCTTCTCATCAACATTCGTCAAGTCCGACAACAACTTCGTATAGTTGTTCACATGAGCCGCAAGCGAGGTGCCTCTGGACATCTGGAATCAAGTGCAACCTGTTCTCAACACTCTTTGTGAGATACTTATTGTTGAGAATTTCCCACATCTTCATTGCAGACGTCACCCCAATCACATCATATTTCAGCTCCTGTTCCAAACAGGACCTGATCACCCCACAAGCGTTCCTATTCATCTTCTCTCATACCGCCTCTTCATATTTAGGTGGTCTTTCGTGGACCATGATGGTCTCTTCCAAGTTCTGAGCATTGAGCGCATCCTGTACGTCGCTCATCCACAAACCAAAGTTGATTTTTCCGTCATACTTCACCACACTAATCTTAGTGTTCTGAAAACCAACTTGTATTGTACTCGCCATCGATTTGCTGCTTTCATCTTCTTCTCCCATTGCGAACTAACTCCAAATTATAGAGAAAGAACAAATTTGATAGAAATTAGGAACCACCCAACTAAACCCTAGATCGGATTCCAAATAGATCTCATATCCACACAAGGAAAGCGAAATCTACAACGGTAACTCCTAATGCTATCTCCACCGAAGCCTAGAACTCCAAGAACCAAGCTTCACAAAAAATCTTCCTCCACCAAATCCAAAACACCCTAGATCTGAAATCTCGGCTCTGATACCACTTGTTGCGCGTAGCGAAAATTTCGGCAGCACTTCGGCAGCACAACAAGAGAGTCAAATCGCAATAAGAATTCCCGTCTCACCAAGGAGACAAGAATCTGAAGCGGATATCTCAACCAAGTGAGATATCGGCTCTTCCTCTCATCAGTTCTAGGACTGACCTGTCGAGGGATCCTAAAAGCTATTACAAATCACACAAAAGCAGTACAACCAATTTTTACGTGGTTCGGTAAATTGCCTACGTTCACGGGGCAAGGAGGGGGGAGATCTACTAATAGAGGGAGAGAATACAACTAGGGTTTACAATCACTCACAATCTAAACCCTCAAACAAACTCTCTCAAATCCCTCACAAATATCTCTCTACAAAAGGCTTCACAAAACTCCGTGCTCTTGCTTCTGTTCCGCAGCTGCACAGGAAGAAACCAAGTAGCCGAAAACAATTCTCGCAGCCGCCAAGCTCACATGAAACAAATCCTTGCACGCACCTTTCCTGTAGCCGCACAAGTGCACAGCCGCAACCCTCCTTCGCATCAAAAAAAACCTAAGGGAAATCACTTCATATTTATACGAAGCTTCATGCGGGTTCGTGGGCTTCATGCGGGTTGATTGAAACCGCATTCACGCGGCTTCGGCTCTGTTCACGCGGAAACAAACCAAATCATTCACGTGAAATCTCTTCACGTGGGAAAGTGACCCCCACTCTCACACGGGTTACTATTATTTGTCATTAGAGTCGCAATTCACACGTGCAATTATACTGAGAAAAAGTAATGACTATTCTGTTGCGCGCAGCGGAAATTTCGGCAGCACCTCGGCGTAACAACAAGAGAGTCGGGTCGCAATAGGAATTCATGTTTCACCAAAGAAACAAGAAGCAAAAGCAAAATATTTCAACAAAGTAGGATATCAGCTCTTCTTCTCATCAGTTCTAAGACTGACCTGTCGAGGGAACTTAAATAAGCTATTACAAATCACAAAAGCGAGACAAACTAATTTTACGTGGTTCGGCAAATTGCCTACGTCCACAGGGCAAGGAGGAAGGAGATCTACTATTAAAGGAAGATAATACAACTAAGATTTACAATCACACAAACCCTCAAACCTCTCATAGAGGAGATGTCAAAAATAACCCTCTCAAAGACACGAAAGGACAACACACAATCACCTCTACCGAAAAATACCAACAGCCGAAACTCCTTGCACACAGCCGCTATTTCCTTTCTTTTTACACTTTTTCTCCAGCAGCCGCAAAATTCAACTCTGCCTAAAAATAACTCCCTGCACGTCACCTAAGAAAAAAAAAAACAAAGAGGTATTTATAAACCAGGTATTCGGGTGGGCCATCACCACGCGGAAACGAAGTTCACGCGTGAACTTCGTGAAGGTGGGCCCCACAAGCATCCTCTCACTCGGCACGCGGTTTTGCTTCCGCTTCTGATCACATCCTGATGACAACGTAGGTACATGAAGGATACATTCGTAATCTCCTCCAGCTATAGCGTAATTCTTTTCCCAGCCTCCTTCACCAAGTGATCATTTTCTCCGATTTCTTCCCATCTCCTCACACAAACCCTCTTCGATCTTCAGACCAAATCAAGATACCAAAAAAAAAAAAAGAGAATTGAACCCGACAATCGCTCTCCGGCCCTTCGAGCCAACGCATCTCCGACGCGGAGAGAGCGCAATCATGTCATGGGCCCTCCGCTGACAGGGTTCCCGCTTCAGCGCGCGATCCTACACCCACACAAGCCGTCCGCTACCTCCACACCCACGTACTCCCTCACCCCTATCACCGCGCCATTTTACACAACAACACCGTCGTGGGCTCGATCTCAATCACTCCCTGCTCCGACGAGGGGAATAAGTGCAGAGCCTCGGTCGGATACCGGTTGGCACATGATTACTGGGGGAAGGGGATCGCGACGGTGGCGGTGAGGATGGCGGTCGCCGAGGTGTTCGAGAGGTGGGAGGGGTTGGAGAGGGTGGAAGGGGTGGTTGATGTGGAGAACGTTAGGAGTGTTCGAGAGGTGGGAGGGGTTGGAGAGGGTGGAAGGGGTGGTTGATGTGGAGAACGTTAGGAGTATGAGAGTTTTGGAGAAGGCTGGGTTCTTGAGGGAGGGAGTTTTGAGGAGGTACTTGGTTTTGAAAGGGGAGGTCAGAGATGTGGTTATGTTCGGTCTTGTGCGTGCAGATCTCCTGCAGGGTTAGATCTGTGTTTAACCGATGCAGATGTTATTAGGTTAATTGCGGATTGACTCCATGTAGTATCGCCCAATTATAGATAGACCCGTCATGTTCCGTTTGTATAGATTAGATCCTTGTACTATTTGTCCAAATTAATATGGAAAGATCCCCGTAGCGGATTCTTAATAAGAGTGGGAAAAAAAATGTTCACTTTCAAGAGAGTCTATCCTCACGAATAGAACTATAGTGAGTATATCGGCAATTGGTCTATAGTAAATTTCTCTTCTTCTTTTTACCCATTGTGCTGAAGAGCATTTTTGTTACTTGAGGATTTACGGGGGCCGGACTCTCTTTTTTTTATGTTTTGTAGGAAAAACGAATTAAGTTTTTGGGGATTTTTTTTGGAAACATCCAAAACTATTTCGGGGTGACGTGAAATTTACTAAATCTAGGACTTTTATAAATATGTACAAATAAATCATATTAACCCGTTCTTTATGCACAAGACAAAACTTATTTGTATATCAATCAATTAATTAGCTTGGAGTAGGGGATACTATATATTGAAATCCCTTTTGGAGCATTCACTTGGGACTATTTCCTCAGCATTAATTACAAATCAATTATCAGAATTATTTTTGTATGTGTCCAATATTAGACGAAGCTAGCACTCTTGAGTACCTACAATAAATGCTACATATGAAGAAATTCCATCACTTTAACTCTTATCATAACTTTGAAATTTTGATATAGTGATAGCGTTCTCTTCTCTGGCGTAGTATCAGAGCTGTCAAGGCTTAACTACCGTACCTACACGGTTTTAAAATGGATTTTTAAAAAAATTGGTTCTGTTGCGTAAACTTAGATTTCCGCATAATTAAGATGGGGTCTTCTTGAAAAACCTCCAAGCGGTCCAAGAATCAATTCCTCAGTATCATCACAATTAAGATCCATTTTAGCTTCTTGCTTCCCTAAGGAACAACTAGAGCAATTAGGTACTTGCTAGCCAAGCAACTACCAAATTAATCTCAGAGAATAGTCCACTATATTAGCTGATCGGTCAATAACGAAGGCCATAATAAACTTTAGGTCCCATTCTGAGTCACCTTTAAAACTAACAAATTTCTAAAGACATCATTAACGAACTATGAAGTAGACCATTAGCCAGTCAACTCGGCCTTGCCACTTTTATACTAAACCCAAGAACAACCCTTCAATCAGTCCCAATAAACCCCTCAAACTCAAAAATGGAAAAAATCCCGACGACAAACATCACCCTCCGCCTCTTCCGACCATCGGACGCCGACGAATTCATGGCATGGGAATCTGATGACCGAGTTATGAAGTTCGTCCGCCGCGACCTCTGCACTACCAAAGAGTCGGCCACAGAGTACATCACCACCTACGTCGCCAACCATCCTTTTTGTCGAGCAATTTGCATTGGTGATCGGCCCGTTGGCTGGGTTTCGGTCTGGCCTGCACCGGGCGAAGACTACAGAAAGGTGTTAAATATAGTATTTTCCTTTCGCAGGACTTTTCCCTAAAAATAATTTTCTTTTCTTATTAGAGTTTTCCTTTCACAGATACCATATGCTTATATCAGACCCTTAATTCTATCTTATTTTTATATTATACTACCATATATTCATATTTGTTTGAACCTGGGGTGTTAGTGAAAATTACTCCATATGGATGTGCGAATTTAAATTACACGCACGGGAGTCTTATTTAAAATAATTTGATGGATTTGGGGATATATGTGATTTACAAATATAAAGATTTGGGGAGTAAATATAAAAATACAATAGAACTTAGGATCTAGTAAGAGATAATTCATATTTATATTCTCTTTTAAAAAATCACGTAATGTTTTCTAGAAGGAAAAAAATATAAAAAATAATATTCATGTGCATGTATACATATATATGAGGCCTATTGTCAGCAGCAGCTTACTTTGACGAATGATAAAGAAGGCGGGCCTCGTGAAATGCTTTTGCACCGAAAGAAAGCCCAAGCCGCCCACGTTTTTTCATCTCCTGCAGCTTCTGTTGAAAATTTGAGAAGAAAACTATAAATGTGGCTCCAAATCCTTAAGGAAATATCATCTTAGAAACAACTTCTTATATAGAAGAGTAAGAGAAAAAAAATAGAGAGAGTTTCTCCTTAGAAAGAGAGAGTTTGTAACTCCAGAGTTTTTCTCCTTATAGTGAATTCTTCTACCATTGCCCGTGAACGTAGGCAATCAAGTGCCGAACCACGTAAATCTGTGTGTCCAATTTTTTATCTCTACTTTTACTCTACTATTGCTACGACCCTGCTCTATTGGGCCCCGGGTTTGTCCCAACACCTATCTCCTATAAATTTAAGTGGAATAAAAAGCTTTCTTATCTCTTGTATTTGCTTTGGGGGGGGCATACCGATACATGATGTCTCCTCAAATGATCAATGAAGAATAACAAGATAGTTTTTTTCTTAACAAGGCGTCGATTGGATATTGCATCCGCTACGACCACTGGGGCCGAGGGATCGCGACATTGGCGGTGAAGACGGTCGTGGCGACAATATTCAAGAAGTGGTCTGAGCTGGAGAGGCTGGAAGCAACAGTGGAGATCACAAATGTGGGGAGCGTGAGGGTTTTGGGGAAGGTTGGGTTTAAGAGAGAGGGCTTGTTGAGGAGGTTCGTTAGGTTTAAAGGTGAGAGTAGAGATGTGTTCGTGTTTAGTTTCTTGTCTACGGATCCTTTGCTGGATTGAGAGTTATATGGATTGTGGTTGTAATTTATGCTGATTTCAGACAAGCTCAATATATAATTGTGAAATAGGTAAGTCAAAACTGAGGTTTATGCATTATATGAGAGTGGACTAGCACTAGTTAGTATTGCTAGTGATGAATTACTAGTAAAGGTATCTCCAAGTGGTAAACAGTCAATTCGAGTGACCAACGTACGTTAGTCAAAACAGGAGGCTTGAAAAAGAGTAAATAATTGAAAACCAAAATTAGTGGAAAAATGAAAATCTACAGATGTGGGGTATCGATGTAACGCCCCGCCTCGGAATCCCGGAGTCGGTACGTTATTAGATCTGATGGACTGGCCTCACAAACCACCACATGTTTTTTCAGCATGTTTTGTCCTCACTCACGCGCTCCCCGGAAAACTTCCCAGGGGGTCACTCATCCTAGAATTTCTCCAGGCCAAGCACACTTAACTTTGGAGTTTCTAGGAGTTAGGTTTCCGAAAAGAAGATGCATCTTGGTGGTATGAGTATTCCAATCAAATCTATCAATACTAATCACATCACCCTCTCAAGGGTTGGGGTATTACATACTCCCTCACTTAAATTCACAACGTCCTCGTTGTGTCAAATCATATCATCCAAGACCGTACCATCCGTGTGAGATTCTAGAGGTGGCTCCTACGGCCTCAAGAGGTGGCTCCCGCCCTCTCGACGTAGCACTTTGCGCCGCATAGCACTTAGCTCTCACAATTCCGGTTGGCTTTGCTCTGATACCATTTGTAACGCCCCGTCCCGGAATCCCGGAGTTGGTACGTTATTAGATCTGATGGACTGGCCTCACAAACCACCACATGTCTTTTCAGCATGTTTTATCCTCACTCACGCGCTCCTCGGAAAACTTCCCAGGGGGTCACCCATCCTAGAATTTCTCCAGGCCAAGCACACTTAACTTTGGAGTTTCTAGGAGTTAGGTTTTCGAAAAAAAAGATGCATCTTGGTGGTATGAGTATTCCAATCAAATCTATCAATACTAATCACATCACCCTCTCAAGGGTTGGGGTATTACAATCGATCCCCACCTCTACCATTTGAGATACATCCCCTTCATGTTAGAACTCTGTTATTATTTATTATAACATTTTATGTTCTATAGTTCTTTTGGTATTCTTCCCTCAAGATTGGATTAATTGTTGATTCCGGCTGGTTGTGGGCACCATCTAACTCGAGATGAATCCAAGTTCTCTTTATTTCCTTGCTATGATGGCAATGAGGCTATCGTGACGGCAGAAACATTGTTTAACCAGTGGAGGAAGAATGCACCATTCAGATCCAGAGCAAAAATGACAACCCATCACTCTCTACAGTGTTTATCATGTTCCCGGAATGAAGAAAAATCTCTTCTCGATAGAAAACGCAATGTATGCTGGATATAATGTTCTATTTAGACCCCAAGATGTGAAGTTTCTCCGAGACATTTCACAATTAAAGGTGGACTCCATCCATTCCCGCAAGCAACTGAGAGATTGTTTGGTCTCTTTTCTTCCGCCTATATTAGTAAGATGAGCTCAAAGTGATGGTATTTAAACATATTGTGAATGGTTTTCCTAACCTCACTACCCTCAGTAATGATGATGTATGTGAGGGTTGCTAATATGAAAAGGCACACTGACTTTCATTTGATCAATCACTCTCAAGGTGCAAAGCTTCTTTAGAGTTGATTCATAGTGATATGAGGGTTTTCAATATTCCTTCTTATTCTGGATTTTTGTACACACTCCTATTTGTTGTCGACTTCACCAGATGGACATGGGCTTATTTTCTAAAAAAATGCTACAGACACACCTCCGGCCACACCACCAGCCACACCCCCTCACCTGCTACAGTGCAGGGGGGCCCACTTGAAATTTTTTTAAAAAAATTCAAGTGGGGCCCCCTGCACTGTAGCAGGTGAGGGGTGTGGCTGGTGGTGTGGTCGGAGGTGTGCCTGTAGCATCACTCTATTTTCTAAGGTGAAGTCAGAGGTATTCCCTAAATTCAAGGAGTTAAATATTACCATGGAAGGAGTCATTGACAAGAAGATCAAGAGGTTACGGAACGACAATGAGGGAGAGTATAAACATCTCACGAGTACTTCCACTTTTGTTGGCAACATGGCGTTAGACGGGAGTTGTCTTGTGCGAGACATCGCAGAAGATTGGCATCATGGAGAGGAAGATTAGACATCTCACAGAAGCCTGCAAGAGTTAACTCCATGCAAAAAATTTATCTAAGGCCTTATAGGCAGAGGGTATGGCTTGTGCAACATATGTCATCAATAGTGTGCCTCTCGGTCCGAACAACATGAAATCTCCTTACAAGCTAATATGTACAAAGAAACTAAATGTGAAGTATTTCAAGGTGTTCAGTTACGTTCATGTACCAGCTTCTAAAAGGAGAAGGCCTAATGCTAAGGTTAAAAAAATGCATTTTCATCGGTTATGATGAACGAAAGAAAGGATGGAAATGCATGGACCCAGAGACTCATAGGTTCACAATTTCTCAATATGTGGTGTTTGATGAGGCATCCTCTTATTATTGTCCTTAAAGTGTTGTGATCAATGATGTTGGATAATATATATAGGAATGATGAAGATGATCTTGTTCCTACGGTGAGCTTGCCCACTTAATCAAGTGATCCAAGTGCATCTAGTTCTTCCTCGTATTCGATGTCAGGAGAGCAAAGTGAAAGGGGGAGCAATGTTGTTCCTGACAATCAAATAGAGGAGAACGCTGAAGCTATAGAAAGTGCACCACTTCTCTGAAGGTTAATACGAAAGAATATTATCAAGCCAGCTCAGTACTGAGACGGAGATTTGGTGGCTTTGACTTCTTACTTCTTGACGGGACCTGCAGATACAAATGAACCTTTGTGCTATGATGAAGCCAAAGGCATCAAAGAATGGGAGGATGGAATGGATGAGGGGATGCGTGCTCTGCTAAAGAATAATGCTTGGGTTCTTGTGCCAAAATCTAAGGATATAAACGTGGATACGTGTAAATGGGTTTACAAGCTAAAGCGAAATGCGGATGGGAGAATCAGGCAATACAAAGCAATTAAGGCTTGTTGCATGGGGTTTTTCTCAAGTTTGTGGACAACATTATGAAGAGATCTTTAGCCCCATCGCGAAGATGATTTCAGTTTGGGTGGTCATTTCCTTGGCAGATAGTCGTGGTTGGAGGGGCAACTAGATGTGAAGAATGCTTTCCAATACGGAGAGATTGATAAGGATATCTATATGGAGCAATCATCGGGTATGTGTCTACTTCTCATCTAGCTAGACTGTGTTTGTAAACTCAAGAAAGGCTCTTTAAGGTTAAAAACAAGCACCCAGAGCTTGGTATGGTAAAATAGTGTTAGTTTTTATTTATGGAGAATACTTAATTCAGAACATTACAGAGCTTAAATAGACTACTAAACTTGGCTAACTAACTCCACTATCCACGATTAATAATGCCTAAGATAGTGGCTTACAAACTGACTCAAACAAAAAAAAACATAAATAATCACCTAACAATTAGCTAAAAAACAGCAACTGAATTGACAAAGTCTACCTAAGATATAGCTATGTATTTCTGACTTATTCAGCCTAAATACGTGGACTGCAGAAGCTTGAATTATATTGCAACACTAGCTATGTATTTCTGACTTATTCAGCCTAAATACGTGGACTGCAGAAGCTTGAATTATATTGCAACACCTCCTCTTAATTCAAGCTCGTACATGCCTATGGACTGCAGAAGCTTGAATTATATTGCAACACCTCCTCTTAATTCAAGCTCGTACATGCCTATCTTCTTCAAAAAAAACTGATGCTTGACTTGAGTTTAGGCCTTTGTAAACAAATCAACGTGTTGATCATTTGTGCCACAGAATCTCAAAACCAATTTCTTCTCAGACACAAGCTTCCTTATGAAGTGATGCTGAACTTCTATATGCTTGGTCCTTGCATGGAATGCAGGATTCTTGGTCATAGCTATTGCCGACTTGTTATCACACCAAAGCTCTATTGCGCCTTCCTGCTCACAGCACAAGTCTTTTAGCAGCTTTCTTAACCAAATGGCTTGCCTTGCTGCTGCACCAGCAGCTACATATTCTGCTTCAGATGAGGATAGAGCTATTGTGTCCTACTTCTTGGAGCTCTATGTGATAGCTCCTGAGCCAAGACTAAACACTGATCCTGATGTACTCTTCCTGTCATCCAAGCAACCAGCCCAGTCACTGTCAGTGTATCCAATTAACTTGAAATTTTCAACACTTTCATAAAGAATTCCAAGCTTAATTGAGCCTGCCACATATTTCAGAATCCTTCATGCTGCTCCAAGATGCTGCTTAGTTGGAGAATGCATGTAGCGTGACACTATACTCACACTATGGACTATGTCAGGCCTTGTGTGTGTGAGATAGTTCAAACCACCAACTAAGCTTCTGAAAATCTTCTCATCTGCTTTCTCAGTACCATCCTCTCTCTGGAGCTTCTCATTTGTGTTCATGGGAGTTCTGGTTGCTTCACACTTCTCTATTGAGAACTTCTTTAGCAAGTCCTCTACATACTTCCTCTGTCACAGAAATATCCCATATTCACCTTGCTTTACCTCCAGACCCAAGAAGTACTGAAGTAATCCTAGGTCTGTCATTTCAAATTTCTCCATCATTGCTACTTTAAACTCACTTAGCAACTTTTGAGAAGAGCTGAAATAAATAATGTCGTCCACATAGAGACAGACAACAATGAAGTCATCCATGCCTTGCTTCTTCACATAGAGAGTTGGCTCATTTTCACTTCTCTCAAACTGATTTTGAGTAAAGAATGAGTCAATCTTGCTGTACCAGGCTCTTGGAGCTTGTTTCAGTCCATAAAGTGCCTTTTGCAGCTTATAAACCTTACCTTCTTCACCTTCTCTGACAAAGACGAGTGGTTGCTCTACAAAAACCTCTTCTTGCAAGTCTCCATTAAGGAATGCAGACTTTACATCCAGCTAAAACACTTCCAGTTTTCACTGAGCAGCCAAAGCTAGCACCACTCTCACAGTTTCAAACCTTGCCACTAGTGAAAATGTTTTCTCAAAATCAATCC